TAACAAACAATTTATCTTGGATTGTATAACTAAATGATAGTACCGGTTTATTGAATGAAATCAGATTTTTTATTACCGATGTTAATGGCAATTCGTCGAGATTATGTAAAATACATTTGACTGCTTCAGTTGTTGTATGATCGGTTTCCGTTAATCTGTGAAGTACAATGAGAAGATTACCGTTAGATTTTAATTGACCTTTTATAGTTTTCAGTTGATCTGCAATCTCTTTGTCGGCGAAAAATGTCAAACTCCATATGATATATATAATTGATTCACAAGCTAATTTTCCACGTTCGTCACCGTCTGTAATTGCTCCATAAATCGATAATAACGTATTAGAAAACAAAGATATGTAGTTTATTGGTTCAGATTGCAAAGAAAATCCTAATTCCAAACAATACTGAACAATATAATCGGATATAAATAATTTTTCTAATACTACTAATAATTCTGATAAATGAAAACCATTAAAAGACATTTGTTTATGTTCAATCGATGTATAACATGCGTTAATATTGTACTCAAAAATATGCTTAATTACCGCAACTTTATAATAATGTGTCTCTTGATTACGTAGTTCTTTTAAAGATAGTTCCAACAGTTCATGACCATAGATCAATGTGTAACCCATATAGTATATAACATTTATATCATTATCCTTATAATTTTCAATTGCAGGTCGTATTTTGTCCAATATTCCGTTTTCATCTATTTTTCTAAATGTTGATTGTCCTTGTGGATTACGTGCCAAATTATGAATAATACTAATTAATGGCCGTTTATGTTCGAAACGTAAATGTGATAATTGTATCCAATCTAAAACTGATTTTGGACAACCACATGAAATAAATAATGGAACAAGTTTTGTTTTATCAGCTAAAGTCCATATTAACGATAGAATACTAATACAAATTTTATGATTGGATTGTAATTCAAAACAAACACTTGGCAATTGATCTAACTTTGTATTATCGTTAAAATAGGTAGTTAAATAAATCTTAAAACTATCAAATATAGATGTAAATTGTTTTAGATCATTTGTTTCAAATACAGAATACATTGCAGCTTTATTTGCTACGTCAAGAATAGCATATAAAATAATTTCATAATAGTGAACAACCGATAATGAAGATTTTTTTCTAATATATCGTTTTAAATCAGAAGATTTATTTATAATATCTAATAATTGTATAAATGTTTGTCGAGAACGTCGTTTATCTTTTTCTAATAAATTATCAATGATATTTAATGAAGCAATTTTTGGTACAATAATAATTAATTGTTGTAACGGTTCACTGTTTGATAAATAATATTTGTATTTATCATTAATAATACTGAGTATTGTTTGTATTATATATGTTAATGCTATTAATAGCGTACCATCTTTTTCATTTGTATTATAATTAAATTGTAATAAACGTTCCCAATTTTGTAATAAACTAATACAAATAGTATTTATGGTCTCTATATTTCCTTGTAAACTTGTTTTCAATGATACAAATGCATCATTACCGTTAAATGTTTTTTTCTGTTCGTCGGGCTTCTTCTTATCATTAGAAGATGTAACAGTTTTTGTAATAGATGACATTGTTTAGATTTGAAACTGAAATGAAATGACGAAAAAAAAGCTTGCGAACGTAGGTGCACAAGAAGGCAGTGGTGCATATAAAATGTCAGACTCCAGGGACACTATGAAGCGTTCCTCGGAAGGATCGGACAAAAAGCGGCGTGCGAGGGAAAATTTTAAAAGGTGAAATACATATGGAGTCGAAACAGATTTGGCTGGAGTACTTTGGCAGACAAGTTGGGGAAAAATCTTTTTTGCAAGTAACTTATAATCATAAGGAATCCTTCTACACAGATCCGTCCACTTTATACAGAGCATCTTGCCGTGAAAATTTCACTTTGTCCATCGTATAGAGCATTAAAAATAACCTAAAGATCTCGCTTAAGCTTTTTCGAAAAAACGTGGAAAGTGGTTTTCTAGACACCTCAAGTTTTTGGTGAGGGTGAAACCGAAGTCAGTGGAAATGAACGAAACATTGCATAATTATACATCAAATTGTAACTCTTAACGAGTTGTTTCACCCTCAATTTTTCAGAAATCCTTTTAGAAAACTATGGTGCGGAAACACAAAGAAGCCGCACCAAACGTTGAAGTAGATGGAATTCTTCATGCTGAACAGGAATATAGAGCCGTAACAGCTCAATTTTCTTCTCATGAAGTGTTGAGGATAGTTGTATGGGCAAAGTTATAGATCCTACTAAGTAGTTCCTATCCCGAAAAAATCTCGAAAAATTTTCGGAGCATTTAGAAGGAAATGGCTGTCAAACTTTAGGACTTTTTCAAGTAAATGGAGTACCACTCGAACGTAAAGTTAGATCGAGACCAAATTCCTTAACCATTAGAATCAACTCGTTAAGAGCTACAACTTGATGTATAATTATGCAATGTTTCGTTCATTTTCATCGACTTTGGTTTTATCCTCACCAAAAACTTGAAGTGTCTAGAAAACTACTTTCCACGTTCTTTCAAAAAAGCTTAAGCGAGACTTTTAAGTTATTTTTAATGCTCTATATGATGGGCAAAGTGAAATTTTCGAGGCTAATAGCGAATGTAATAGTGAGCGGACCTGCACTGAGGGACCCTAAGATCATGACCAATGTAAAATATCCCTGCTCATGTCCGCTCCTTTACTGAGATACAAGTTATTGTTTCTAAGAGTTCCAGTATAGAGACATGTTTTGTTATATCTCTTATGTTAGAGACATGTTCTGTTATATCTGCGAATGCAAAAGGAACGTTGAATTCACGATGTCCGGAGAAAACGACGTTTCTCCTGCCTGGTTCTATCTTAAAATTTTTTTCCATTTTCTCAAGTCATTACATTTTTTCACTGGTTTTGTTTTTCCAAATATGAAAGAACCGTCGACTGAACAAGGAGTAGTAACGGATGACTACTACTTAATTTTGAACATTATTCAAGACAACTGCGAAAATAAAAAAATAAATCGGCACTACTGGACAACACATTGTTTGAATTCTTGCCACCTTCAAATGATAGATAACCATTTTTTTCAGTCATCAACATAATTTTGAATTTGTTTCGCCAGATTCCTGCTCCTGATAAACACATGAAAATTAGATTTATTTGCAAAAGAAGTATTTTCGAAAAAATTCCTTTGTTTTTTTCCAGCATCTTGTCCAACTGATAGCAACTTTATGAAGAGACAAAGAGGTACCAGAAATTCTTACTACTTGCATTTTGTAGAGAATTTAATGGGCTACAAAATCCGATAAAAAGTTTTCAAATAAAAGTACA